GACCGCCCCCCGTTCTTCTGTAACAGACGCACGAGCCTACTGCAGGTAATTTTGTGCAACCACCACAAAACACTATTCCACCTCTACCTCTAGTATTTTCTTTTCTGCGAAAAGAGTGGCCCGTTTAGGGGTACGCTTTTTGTTTTTTTTTGCCAAAAATAAGCTGTTTAGAGGGATCCTGTGTGGATGTATGTGCGCACGAGAAAATGAATAATTTTCATGCCCAGGNGCAGGTAATTTTGTGCAACCACCACAAAACACTATTCCACCTCTACCTCTAGTATTTTCTTTTCTGCGAAAAGAGTGGCCCGTTTAGGGGTACGCTTTTTGTTTTTTTTTGCCAAAAATAAGCTGTTTAGAGGGATCCTGTGTGGATGTATGTGCGCACGAGAAAATGAATAATTTTCATGCCCAGGGGCGTGAAAAAGACGCAATGGCTGTGTTGTTGTTGTTGTTGTTTGTTGTTTCTCACATTAGCTCTATAGTTCACAAAAAATGGGGAGCCCGTGGTCTCAAAACCCGGCACATACGACGCCGCGAGAAAACAAAAAGAACGAAAACAGGGTACAAACCACTCGGAAAAAGAAAACAAAATGATAGAAAGAAAAGAACAGGTATCGCACCGACCGTTCGAGAAAAGAGCCCTCGGACACCGATCAAAATAAAACAAAACTAAAATGACAGAAAAATAAAGGAGGACGCTTCCCACACCCGCCCAAAGTAAAATTCAAAGGGTAACGTACCAGCACCAGGCACTGCGCACCAGGGCATGGGAGTAACGGAGCAAACAGGGCAAAGAGGCGGCAGATGGGCAGACAGCCAGACGCACAAAAAACAAAGGCAACAGCAAAGCGAGATCAACGTACCCAATACAGCAGAGTAGGCAGGGAGGTCATGAAAAAGGAAACACAGCACAGAGGCCGAAGGCAACAAAAAGGACATACATAAAGGAGAATAGCATTCGGCAGGGAGGGAAACAAGGCGCAACAACATCAGCCGGGTACATAGTTCGACACAAGCGCTGCCTCGGCCGCCCTACTCGCTTCTACAGCAGTGCCCGGTCGCCGTTTCTTCCCCCC